GGTGGTTTGGGTGGCCCCTGATGTTGTTCTCGCCCTCGGGCGAAGTTGGCTCTCCCTCGATCGCTCATCAACTCTTTTAAGTGCCCTTGGTAAAGCATGTTCACGACCTCCTATCTAAGGGCGATGTAGTCCTCAGTCTTGTGACCCCGTTCCTGGTGGAATTCGCAGAGGCATTTGACTTTCTGGTGCTTGGTTCGGACTTCATCTTCTATGGCCGTTTTACCTTTGGGCCGAGCTTTTCTAATGCGTAGACTATTTTTGAGGGGGAAACACAAAAAATTGTGAGCTGATAAGCCCTTTCATTTTTTAGGATTCCCATTCGTAGCCTGGATGGACCTTCGTCGTGACGTGGAGGCGGCATGAGAGTTCCTCTGACATAAGGCTGATGTCTTTCTCGATTAGGTCATGACCCTGCTAGATCTCTTCTACTTTTGTTTCTTCGGTCTTTCCTAGACTCCATTTGGACCAAGGTCAGATGTTGAGGAGGTCCATTGAGATCATCCTCGTCGGCTCATACCTCGACACAGTAGGCATTGTGTATCTCATCCCAAGTGGTTGAAGGGTATTTCATGAGTCGGCTCAGCAACTTTTTAGTCGCCCGCGACCCACTTCTGCTCAGCCCATTCTGGAAAGTGGCCACCACCATTCCTTCAGATACATTTGGAAGGGTCATTCTTACACGATTGAACCGGGCGAGAAAGTCCCTGAGTCCTTCGCCGGGTGATTTCTTAATGGCGAATATGTCGTTAACTCTTGCCTCCGCTTTCTTGGCCCCTGTATGGGCGGTGACGAACTTGTCAGCCATTTCCTCGAACATTTCTATGATCGCGCGGTAGCTGCGAGTACCAAGTTAGGGCCCCGCCAATCAGGGTCTCTCCAAACTTTTTCAGCAGTATGGATGATACTTGTTCTTTTGCAAGGTCGTTGACTTTTACTGCAGTGACATAGTGGGTCACATAATCTTCCGGATTCGTCATGCCATCATATATTTTCAAGTATGGTGGCATTTTGAAAGTTTTTGGTATAGCATGTGGTGCGGCCTCGTCGCTATACGGTTGCTCTACAAACCGGCTGGCGTCCCACTTTGGTAGGAGTTTTGGGGCACCTGGTATTTTATCTACCCTTTCTTGATGTTCTCTCATCTGGTCGCAAAGTGCTTTGTTCTCGTTCTCCATATCCTCCATTTTTCTAAGAATGACAACGAGAGCGTCGTTACCTGCATCACTAACAGAGTGAGTGATACCTGTCGAGGGAGGCTGGGTGTGTTGCTCATTGGTTGTTGTGGCGATGTCGACTCGCACACCCTCTCCGCTCGCCCTCTAAGCTGATTTGTCGAGTATATTGTTTAGTGTATTTGTTAGCCATTCTTCTAGTAGTTTTTTTACAGCTGGTGGTGCTTCTTCCGTGGTGGACGTAGAGGCTCCCTTTCCATCAGAATCAGTAATGCTTCCATGAAGGGAGTTAATCACTTCGCCTAGGTGAAGCGCTTGGTGTCACGTTCTTCTCGTCCTCTCCGTGAATTTCATTGATAGTGTTTAAGAGATTGGCGGTTAGATCAGCTATCACCTTTCTCTTTTCTTCTCCATTGCCTGCCATGTCAGATTTTGTGCAAACAACGAGATACGAGATTTTGCAAAGTTTTGTGCGTGTTTTTTTAGATCTAGGAATAAACTAAAACTTTTAACTAAAAAATTCTCACAGACGACGCCAAATTGTTTGACCAAAAAGTGTTAAGCTTTTTTTGTTAAACTAATTAAGTAAATGATAATGGATAAATTCTAGCTAAATATAATAAATCCTACATCCAAGATTGATGGGTAGTAATAATCTAGAAATCGCATTTAATGCTATTAAAAGCCAAAAGGAGGTTTAATGATACCGTTGTAAATGAATGAGGCGATAAGGACAAGCAATAAATATGATAAATGGTAATAACTATGAATAAAGAAAATAATTCACCCAAATGTATAATGAGGTGGATGATTCTCCCTCTGACAATGATATAAGATACTCAAACGTGGGAATATCAAATGCTTTATCGGATCTAATGTGGGAAAGCTTGGAACAAAGCAGCAAATCGAATCTTGTATAAAGATTATGTTTGTAGTTATTTGAGAGTCAACTTTTCTAGAGAGAGCTTATCAAGATAGAAAATTATATGCCCTTACATTCTCTCTTTATTCCTACTTATATGGGACATTCCCCTTACCTACTGAAAATAGAAATACAGAGAATATTCCTCCGAATATTTTTAAAATATCTTATTGCTAAACTAGCTGTTTTGACCGATCTGAGTGCTCGACCTCGACATTCGTTGCTCGGCTCATCAGTGTTGCTTCTTAAACACGACTTTGGCCTCATTGATTTATGATTTCCTTATTTCAGGCGAAGTCCTTTTGGTTAGATTTTGACACATACAATGTGATCATTATAGAAATTAATTCCGAAAATTCTATGAAGTTTTATAGCCAACTCTAATAGTGCCTCGACCACGTCTCCCCGCTGCCAACGGTCAAAATGACAAGATTTTCCAAACGCCCCCACCAAAGAAACTCCGTTGGCATTTCTCATAACTTTCCGTGCCGTTTTGTAAACGCTAGCTCCTCTCTTTCTTTCTCATTTTTTACCAAAGAAATTCCGTTGGCATATTTTGTATACTCCATCTATTTTTATAAAAGAAAAAAGTAATTGATCCAAGTATATATGGTTTACCTACCGGAGAAACAAACAACACCGTTTTGAGCTGCCTTGCACAACTAAGTATAATTTTTTGTTGGTTTCTCACCCGGTGTTCGGTATTAGCATTGAAGCCAATTATATTCGGATTCGTGCCGTATAGGACCCCCATTCGGAGGAAGTGCACTGCTTCTTACCAAAAAAAATTCATATCCAGGGCTTGAACCTGATACCTCTGGTTAAAGAAAAAACAATCTCATCCGATGCACCACATCTTTTAGGGATGCACGACAAAGTTTATCGCGTAAACACATCCTTTTATGATCGTCTTTTTGTTGAATTAGTAGAGAATAAAACATATCTCTTGCAAATTCAGATATATTTATATTAATATAGTACTTTTATGCCAAGCTTAATTCATATACGCGGACAAAATTGCTTTCGGTTAGGTAAGCGTTATGAAAAAAAACCACTATTCTTGTTGAAAAGAATTAGTCAAGTAACATATACAAATACAATTGATTGAATTAGTAAAATTTCGAAAACTTGATATTATATTATATAATCTGCTATTTTGTAAGTCCTACATTCGTCTATGAATCTTACTGCTCCTTCTAAATATAGTTTCATATTTTAGTAAAGTTTCTTAACTTGTTTCTTTCAACTTACATTAGAACAAAAAACATAGGTGATTTAAACCGAAGAGAGTTTTGTCCAAGCCTAGAAAAATGATGGGGTTAGAAATATATTTAGAACCTGAAATCTCTAAAAATCATTGGGAATCACCAATTAATTCAACCAATTAGAGTTGGCATAGGATTCTCTTAGTTAAAGCAAAAACAAAAATTCAAGATTTTTCTTTTAAAGTGTAAAGAGGAGGACAACCAAGGCCAGGCCGTTAGCTTGGCTTCACATGCATGCCAAATAGTAGTAGTGGTCGGAATTAGAGGAATCTTTTCCTCCAAATTACAAACATTTGTTCCCTACAATTTCAATCATAAAACCAAACAAACAACTCCATGCCAGGCTATCAACCACAATCTATACTCACTATACACCACATATCTTATACATCTTACAACTTCACTCTTTATCAATTAGTAGGATTTCAATCATAAAAAAATAATTTGGTACACAAAGTCCGAAGAAAAACTACTAGATATTTATTCTAATGCAAGCAGTAGTAGTAGTAGCTACTTTTAGGTTCGAACCCCTTGGTTCTACCTCAATTATCTAATAGTATATAAAAATTAAGAAGGGGAAAAAGTGTAAAGGAAAAAAATATTAGTAGTACTAATAAGGTGAGGGGTCCCACAAAAGCAAACAGCAATCTCAAGAACACACTCATAAACAAATTCCAATTCCAATTCCAACGCTCATCATTTCAGATCAGAGAAATGCATTATCCATCATCATCATCATCATAATACATGTTACTGGAAACCAGCCTCTGCATATTTCCAGCTGCTACTTCCTATAACCAATGCACTCTAGTTATATCTAAAGTAACTAAACGCACATGACCAAAGACCATTCTTGTACTAGTACTTTGACTTGTCAAATGTAACGTTTATGATGACATCTAATGTGGTATTTTCGGTGCAAAAAGTAGTAAGTATAAAATTTGGGTCTATTTTTTACTTAATTAAATTTAGTTGAATGATTTTTTAAGTGGCAAAAAATAAAGTGTAATAATTTTTTGTACCGAGTTTTGAATAAGTTTTAAGTGACAAAAATTAAAATAGTGAATTTTGTGCAATAAAGTAAAGGCCCTAAGGTCGATTACACTTTCCACTACTAAGGCCTAACATTTACAAAAGTGTAATGAAGGAGGCCGTTTGGACATAAGAAATTTTTTCCTTTTTTTAAAAAAAAATTTCACTTTTTTTTTTAAAATCAACATTTATTCATAAAATTTTCAAAAAATTGTTGTTCAAGATTTTCACTGATAACTTCAAAAACAACTCAAAATTATATTCTATATCCAAATGCAACTCTAAATTTCTAATACCATTTGAAAAAAATTTCACCATTTTTTAAAATTTTACAATTCTTATGTCCAAACGCCTATTAGGTAATAAGACAATGAAACTAAGTAATACAACAAGTAATAACGGAGATCCTACTGATAATACTGACACAGTATAAAATCTAGGGACTAAAAATAAAAAAATACACGACTAATACTGCTAATGAAGAATCAAAAGAACTCAAAAAATCATGAACAATTGGATCCAAATGAAAGGAATTAATGTGTAAACAAAAAATAATAGCACTAGAAATCTGCAAAACTCTAAAGGATATACAGTAATGAAGAAGAACAATATGTAATTTCTTTATATTTTTCTCAAAGAGCATTGTTACATTGGATCCACTCGAATTAATAAAAAAACTCACCATTCACTCAAAAACAATCAGAAAAATAAAGACAAAAATAGAATAATAGTACATTCTTCAGTTGCATTCAATGTTAGTAGCAGCTAGAAAACTTCTATTTAAAGACCTAAACTATACACCTAGTATTAAATTTCTTGGTTTATTCTTGCTATATTACATGAATAAATGAGTTAGTAAATTCAAAGAAAAACATAAAAGTTAGCAGTAGTAAAGTACCAATCCTCCTCAGCTTTTCCAAGCATAAACCAACAAAGAAAATCCAGAAGGACCTTTCAATTCATTTTCTTCAGTACTAGCCCATTCCATTACAGAGCTACAAGTTGAAGATGCTGAAGATAAAGATGAAGAAGATGAACTTCTTGAACTTCTCAATACACCCTTTTTCATCATTTTTGTCTCGAACCCGAATCCACAAGATTGTTGAGACCACAATTGAACTCCATTGTTAAAGTTGGAATCATCAGTAGCTACATATTCGTAACTTGATTTTTCGAATTTGAACATGAACAGAGCATACCCATCTTCGTCATCGTCAAATAACCAGTTGTACACATCCCATGAAACCAAAACTGGAACTCCGTCAACTTCAATTCTTTCATTTCCTCTGAATTTCCATTTCAAATGCTTAATTTGTAAGACCCTTTTGTTATCTACGCTGAAATATAGCCTTGGATCTTCTCCTAACCTGCAATCGATTGAGATTTCTTTCTCTTTCCCACCGAAATTTGCTTTTGTTTTGTAGAGTTTGTTTCCACATACGTGTTCCCTTCTCAGCACCAGGTTTGGGTTTGGATTCGGATTCGGATTTTGATTTTGATTCTCCTTCTTTTCTGGCATTCGAGCTCGGGTTTTAGCGTAAGCTTCTTTGTTTAAATCGCCGACGAGAAGAACCATTTCGCCGTTAACAATAACAGCTACGTAAAATCCAGATATAGGTTCAGGCCCAGATCCAAATTTAGCTTTAGAAAGATCCCAAAAGATATGAACAACCTTGTTATCTCCGTCGAGCTTTTTTGACCCATGTTTTTTCCAGAAAATAAAGGGCTTAATATTGAGGTGGAAAGACGGGGTACTGGTTGAAGATAAATGAGGAGAAGAGATTGTATTATTGTAGTCAGCTCCAACTCCATCAGAATCGTTGAGGAGAAAATGGATGTGAAAAGATCTACCGAAGAGATTGCGAGACCAAGTGAGAGCAAAGAGGCCGAGGTGGGTTTGGTAAAGGGAGGTGGCGAGGTTGGGATTAGCAGCAAGCGGTGGCTGCGGCAGCGGTGGCGGTAGAGGACGAGCGGAGGCGGCGGCAGCTACCTCTAAAGGGCGGCGGAAACAAGAAGGGAAAGGTGAATAATAATGGTGGTGTTTTTTGGACTTAGCAACAATTTCCATGATTGAAAGAAATAATAAGAAAAAAAAAAGGAAAAAGCTGATATATTGAGGTATAAGAGATTGAAAGAAGAGAGAAAGGAGATGAGGGATATATATGAGAAAGAGGTAATACCAATGGCAGAAGGGGTGGGGTGCGGGGGCGGG